ATATATATCGCAAGACCATTCAAAGACGGTCATTCCGGTGAGCGTGAATGGGGCATCAGATACCAATCCGTTTCTCATGAACATCGTCTTCGTTAGGTTCAGCCGTAGACCGATTCTTCCACACGCGCAGTCGAATTCAGCCAGCATTCGTTCCGCTTGCTCGATGTTTGGCGTTATCAAAACGATGTCGTCAGCAAAGCGGAGATGGTGTAGTTCCCATTCCAGTTGACGCATGACGTTCTCGAGAGAGGCGCTGAAGAGCTTGGGCGAGATGGTGTCGCCCTGTCGGACCCCTCTCTTCACATCAATGATGATCTCCTTGTAGAATGGTGAGATCTTGAAGTTGCTGTAGAGCTCACGAAGAATCCTGATGTACTGAGTAGGAATACCCTGGTTGCCCAGGGCTTCGATAACCGCTTCTGTCTCAACGGAGTCGAAGGCTTTAGGGAGTATGCAGTATATCAATTCAACTCGCAAGCATCCACCACCTAGGGCACGCCATCGTTGTGCTAGTCACAATAGGAGGGGGTAGTATTTCCGCGAGAGCGAGCCGAAGTCGTGTGCGCAGGACCCTTTCCCGAAGTGGTGAGTACAACGATAATAAGATGTACAGCTCTAATAATGGAAGAATAGTTCGTGTGAAGAACACTGAGGAGACAAGACAAGACAGAAGCAACCTACCAGGTGTGGAGCGGGCGATGAGAGGAAACGATGGCAGCACGCAAGAATATCGTGAATTGATAAACAGATGAAAGTAGGCTTCCAGGCTCTTATGTCGCAGGAGATATCTGCCTCTACGGATTGATCCCTCTCTAGAAGTTGCACTTTCCCGATATCTCTGCGTGGGAGCCATATGCATGGCGCATTACAGAGGTGATGCCAGTCGACGAATAAAGTATTTCCTGATACCCTTGGCAAGAACATGTTTTTTTAGAAGATTTATTTTTTGAAGTTTTAGAAGTATACCAAACTGTTACAACTTGAAGTGATAGGCATTGCTTCTAAGGGGATAGGCATTTTCGTTCGGCCGAAAGGAGTCGCAACAAAATCACAACGGGAAATTTTGTTTTTTGAATAGAGAAAAATATAGGAAAATGAAAGATTTGCTAGAATGTAGTTTGGAAAACCGGCGCTGTCTTCTGTTTTACGGTGGCCTTGTATGCTGTAGCTGTTGAAAGCGTGAGAGCTTGTAGGTGACTCTAAAATGTAACGACGGGATCACAACGGGGAAAGTTCCTCAATTTCATTTATCAAGTGCTGAACTCGCAGCACTGCTTTCCCCTCTCCAGAAGCTCCTTTTTCAACGAAGTTATAGGTGCTTCGAAATAAGTGGTACCGTCGGAGTGCTTGGTTTGGAACTGAATTCGAACCGTGTAATAGTTCAGCAGCACAAAGCGTGCTCTAACTCTTGCTGCAACTTTGGATGGCCGCAAATAATTATTGCTCAAGTGTTGGTGCATGTTTCCGTATTTTTTCTCTCTCCTTTCTCTCCTGTTAAAAAAGGCCCACGTGCTGACAGGAATGCCAATCCTGCAAATGACCGAATGCCGTATCCACTGCCGTATCCAAAAAGGCAGAAGCAGTGATAGATGCACTACACCATACTTCACGGCTTACAGCTCAGGATACGAAACTGAGGGGTAGCGAACAGTATGATCCCCTCATCTTCAAGAGATTCCAGACAGTCCTCGGGATGGAGGGAGAGGGAGGGGTGGGTCACCCTAGGGAAAGGGATAAGTCTCGGCGGAACCACGCGACGTCGCGTGCTCGATGCAATTACATATATGGAGTGGAAGTCTGCGATGACTCAATGTCGTTTGTTCAATGCTGCTCATCGAACGAACGACATTGTGGCTCGCGAGCTCGCTTGATGTCATTATGATATTGTGCACGCTTTTTATTACAGTACAGTTTTAGGGAGTTCGGGTATCCGCAAGACCAACAAAGAGGTTGGGGCAGACAAAAAACAGTTGAAAATTTCAGCATGATCTGAGGAGTATGACGCGCCCATCACCCTACAATGCCATAGTATGCCTAAACGAATAATAGAAACACACACATGTAACAAGGTAACCTACATAAAAGCATGTACAAGTGGGCGTTCCGAACCCAAATGCTCCCTGAAACGAAATCCAAAAGGGGTCCGAACCCGTCTGTAGAGGGCTGATTTGCAATGAAGTCACCACACTGATCCATAATAACGTACAATTATTGAAAGCGAGCGCAATGACAGCATAATAACAAGTGAGCACAGCATGGTGAATTGTCGAACAAGAGACATTGTGAGTCATCGTACAATTACGCTCCATTACAAGCAACACGGCGTTTGTGGACTGCCGCGTACGCGACGTCGCGGGGTGCTAATGGCTGTCTCCGTAGAGGAAGGAGCACAACTCTGGAAAGTGGTGCGTTTTTGTGCAAGATGCAAAAACGATTGCAAGCAAGAAAGAATAGATTTCTCAAGTCGCTAGATAAGCTGAAAACTTGCCTCCATCCGTCTATCTCCTCCTCTCGCAGTATTTTTTCCCCCATCTTACTAGGGAAGGTCGTCAGGTCGAAGTGGCCATTTGTGATGAGATGTAGATCACTAGACGTGGTTTTGGACGCTGATCTTGAATCTGCCTTCAAAATTTGCAAAGCGATTCTCTGAACGGAGTTATGGAGCCGCGTTTACCACGCAACAGGTCATGGGATCGGATCCCTGCTGAGCTTAACTTTTTTGCTTGTTGCGCAAACGTGGCAAAAAGTGATTTTGCCGTCACTACTACTTCAGTTCTCACCTGAGCTTGTCTGAAGAAAAGTTTGCCTCCATTTATTACTGCGCTTGGACTCCTTGTAGTGCACTACAGTGCTTCTACAAGGAGTCCAAGCGCAGTAATAAATGGAGGCAAACTTTTCTTCAGACAAGCTCAGGTGAGAACTGAAGTAGTAGTGACGGCAAAATCACTTTTTGCCACGTTTGCGCAACAAGCAAAAAAGTTAAGCTCAGCAGGGATCCGATCCCATGACCTGTTGCGTGGTAAACGCGGCTCCATAACTCCGTTCAGAGAATCGCTTTGCAAATTTTGAAGGCAGATTCAAGATCAGCGTCCAAAACCACGTCTAGTGATCTACATCTCATCACAAATGGCCACTTCGACCTGACGACCTTCCCTAGTTAGCAAAAAGTCTCCATCTCCTAATAAACACTCCTTTCTTCCCACCCTGCAGCGAAGTGCCCTACCAAGTAGCGTTTTTTATACAAGTTCATTCGCAACAACGTAAAGCCCCACAATTACGAACTAAATTCCAATGATTACTATGCTCGCCGGAGAATGCCAAAAAAGCTTTCAAATAGAAAACATACTATCGAAAACAGCACGGTGTTTTATGGTGCTATTGAACAAGCTGTGACACTTATTGCTTCAGAGACAACTAACGAACTATGTTCTGTCTAATGGTTCAGGCATGATCAGAACCTACCCCTCGGTGTGTTGTTTGTTGTTCCTAAGATGTACATCAGTGAGACTATAGGTACTACCATGCTTAAGACCGGTAGCGTCACCTGAAAATGAACACATAGATTTACAAATGCTGAATGCTTTATTTTTCAATATTTACTATTCTGACCGTTTTAGAAAATTTTTGCTAGTCATAGCAGGCTGTCTGCAGAACTGCTCACATAAGCCATGCCACAGGGAAGCGAAGCGCAACTGCTGATGATGTGGCTTTGGTTTATTAGAGACATGGGAGATGCTTGCTTAGAAAAACTACTTTCCGATACAGAATCCCAAAAGTTAAAAGGGAGCCTCGCAGCAAGCACAATTTCGAAGAGGTTTCAGCCCTTAAAACACATTCACATGGTAACGAGCTTCCTCAAAGTACCGTGGGATGCAACATGAACACAACCAATCATGTGAGAAGGAACTTTTCAGCACCGGACTGTTTCTAACGGCCCATCCCCCAAATGAACAACGATCACCTCCGGGTCCTAGCACCAGAGCTCAGCAGGAAACACTGGCAATGAGTGCTTGGGAAGCATTCAAGAACATCAAGGAGTAGGGAAGAATACGAGACACACCCAACTCTTTGATTCCGCTGTCCTTCCTGCCTTCACTTACGCCTTCAAAGCTTACACCTTAAAGACACATGGTACGCTCACAGACATTGAGGGTGTATGTGACTATCAGCCCCCCCCCAGCTGTCGATGTGTCGTGGTTTCCCCGCCCGAAACTGCACGGGAGTACAGGGCCGTGGGAAAGTCTAATTCGTCCATGCTCCGCCTACCGTTTATGCTAACAGCCGTCCCCGCGCGCAGCTCTCTTGGCTTTTTGCCAAGTCCTGTAATTGCTCTTAAATACAAGTAAAACGCAATTTCCTGATGCGGATAACATTTTAGGTGCTGCAAAATAAGAACCGAAATGATGAAACTAAAAACAAGAACCGAGAATGGCTAGAACTCAAGAGCAACTATGCTGCTTCTGCAACATCATTCAGAGGCCGCGCATTCCCACAGAACATGACAATAAAAACGGCCTAAGCGTTCCACTCGTTAGTTTAATACAAGGTGCTTGCTCATGCTGCAAAGTCCGAATAGAAGGTGATGAAGATGACAAAGGCTAGAAATGAAGAACAACGAATGTAGATGTAAATAAAACAAAATGAAAAATTCAAGGAAACGCAAATTAATTAAAATCGCGTGTAAATTTCTGCGATCCGGCGCGAATTGAGGCTCCAAAGCCATAGAAATACTTAAATAAATTACATAAACTAATAAGTAGAAGCTTAGGCCGTTTTTATTTGTGGGAATGCGCGGCCTCTGAGGGATATTGCAGAAGCAGCACAGTTGCTCTTGAGTTCTGGCCCTCGTCATCATCTTCGGTTCTTATTTTGCAGCACCTAAAATGTTATCCGCATCAGGAAATTGCGTTTACTTGTATTCGCGCAATTACAGGACTTGGCAAAAAGCCAAGAGAGCTGCGCGCGACACGCGCGCGCGGACGGCTGTTAGCATAAAGGGAGTCTGCGCCGCAAGTTGCATTTTGGGCGGAGCATGGACGAATTAGACTTTCCCACGGCCCTGTACTCTAACCAGTTTCGGGCGGGGAAACCACGATCGACAGGTGGGGGGCTCATATTCACATACATCCTCAATGTGTGTGAGCGTTCCATGTGTTTTTAACAACGCAAGATGGATATGCGCTCACAGTAGTGAAAATAGTGGTGCTCGGAATTTCCTGCTATACGCAACGTGAGATAGGGGATCCGGGGCTCCGCACTTCGCCGACGATTGAAGATAAGAGACACATGCCGCATATGGCCAAGGTTTCGAAGATCAGTTGGCCAGCCTGTCATTCGCGTTGAAAATGACCGCCGAACTAAGCGATTACCAGCTGGATTCCACGGGATGTCAAGCGAACGCCTGGACGACCGCCTATGCGATGGTCAGACTTCTTCGTGAAAGCTCTGAACGAATGGTATGAAGTTCATCGTGTCCCTCGAGCAAAAGAACATGCTGGGCAACCCGGGCGCATTGCAAGGACGAAGGAGACGTTACTGGCGCTTGGGCAACTCGATAATCAACGGTAGCACAGGTGACACGTACGTATATAAAGAACACCTCTGAGTGCAGACTGCACCTGGAGTGCTTTAATATTTGCCGTTCATGCTGATGTTTGGTTCAAATGGGCCAAAAAAGTGGAAGCATGACTGAAAGACTGAAAACTGACTGAAAACTGCATACCTGAAGAGAGAGGTAGAGCAGGAATCGTTTTTGCATCTCTTTCGTCCTTTGCGACATGCTCCCATTTTCGCGAAGAAAATTGAAGGATACAATCACACAACTAGAGAAATCACAAATGCAATGCAGTGCAGCACTGCTATCGTTATGGTAATTCCTCGCAGTTATATGGGATAAAAATTTGAAGCCGGGGACGGAGAGAGCTGATCTTGCACATGTATATTCCTGAAATGGAGCATTGCCATAAGAACACTTCCATACCCTGGAGGTGGTAATGAATCAAAGAGTCTTATTACCCAACAAGAGCCCTAAAGCATACAGTTCTCATCACTGCGGACTGAGAGACTGGCCCTGGAACTACTGCCGACCGCTACTCGATCAGCTGCTACCGCACTTTTCAAAGTTAGGTCAAAACCTCACATCTGGCTAGAAACCTGCCCCCAGGGGTAGTTTTCCTACCTGAACACGAATTTGGAACCGATTTGGCGTTTATTTTCAGCGGTCTCAACAGAGACTTTCTTCACAAAATACGAAAGCCTCCCTGTGAACCGGTCACCACGCCTATGAGGCGAGGCTGCTACCACCACATGCTGCCGTTGAAGCGGTTTGCTGTTCACTGCTATTCAAGCATCAAGTAAATTGGCTGGCAACCGCGCTCGACTCCGTGTTCCTTCATTTGAATAAACCTTCATAATTCCGTTCGGAAAATCGTTCTGCGAATTTTGAAGGCAGATTTGAAATCAGCGTTCAAAAACACGTCCTGTGGTGTAGGTCTCTTTACAAATGGCCACTCGGACCTGACGACCATCCTTGTGAGCTCTCAGCACTTTATCCATTATCCATCGTTTCCTGTTTTCTTTTTTGCTCACACCTCCTAGAGATGAACGTTCCCAATCAAGTTCTTTTTGCTTAGAAACAACAGGTTCTACCCACAATGTCACACTTAGTGTTCGCGCACGCAGCGATGCGACGTCGCGCGGACTTATCTACCTAACTTTACGCCGGTTCATGCATTCGGCGGCGTCCACTAGCGACCAATAGCGTCTACCAGGGCTCCGAGCGCCTGGCAGCGTCAGCGACTAGGAAGGTCTGCCACGTGCACCAGCGTCCACCAGCGTCCGGAAGAGGACAGAAAGGGGTGATAGGAGAGCAGTACCAGCTTACCTTCCTGTCACTTGGTCTCTGTTGGACGTTGCCGCAAAGTACGCACGCAACCTCTGGTACCCATTTCAACAAGCTTCAGCGTACACCAGGTAGTGTTGCGGCTCTCTTCCCTGAGAGTGCCTAATGTTTCCTTATAAAAGACCTAAAAGAAGCGAGTGGGAACATTAACTGGAGCTGGTTTCCATCGTAATCCGTTGTTAGATGCACACATACACTGCACATGCTAGCGATAGAGTTGTAAGAGCGTACGCGCGGTTAGAACTGCTCCATGATGACTATTGACTTTTCAGGGCGGAACAGTTCACCGAACTCAGGAGAAGACTCGCTGCGAGGATCCAGGACGGCCTCAATACCTTCGTCCCATGACGGGCATGCCCTCATCCCTCCAGACGTGCTTCGTCGTGTTATCTTCTCTTTTGCTCGTACATTGTCCTCACGTGATATATTAGAGTATGTATTCTTTCACTAGAGTATGTATGTGTCTTACAGCCGCCATGTGCCCGGTATCTTAACACAACACAACAACAGTCGTTCGCGTGAAATCGTGTGAAATCTATTCACTTTTATGGTATACAAGATTAACTTCAGTAACTTAAGGTTTCGAAGCAGGTAAGTGTAGCTCCTATTGGGGGCGCTCGCTTATTGGAAGGGCTGCGTACTTTTCTTAAACATACCCCAGTCGACATCCAGGCATGTGATTAGGCGGTTGTCAAAGGGTCGCAGACGCGGTTGCAGCAGCAAACTGCAAAACCACTTCATTACAGAACAAAGCAGGAATCCACGTCCTGGTACACTCCATAAAGCAATAACACAACTTATTTGCAGAAAAAATAGAAAATACAGTGAAATCAGGAAGAAAATGGTTAAGCCAGGCTGGAAACAGCCAATCGCCGCAGTCGTGACGCGGGCTCGCCTGCGAACCTTTGACCGCCTAAGCAACTGTCCGAATGACGACGTAGGATGGGACTCGCGGGACTTTTCCAGTAGATGCAAATGTCACCCTATGTTTTCCTGGACGAAGTATGATTGCAACTGGTCTGCAGAAGCGCAGCTGCCGTTACATTCATGAAGTACGCAGCCTTGGACCCTCCATCCATGGGATATGGGCTGTACAGGGGGGCCAAAAAAAAAAGTCATTTCGGCCGAGCCACATATCAACGAAGTTTTCGCAGCCCAGACAGGGGAAGTGGATATGAGTACCAGAGTGGAAGATACCCAAGATCTTCCTCTATAAGCTGGAGCACGCTGCCGCCAATCGCCTTCATGTACGCCAAAATATGAAGTCATCTCCAGTCGCGGCCTGAGTGGAGAACGCCTTTGGAATTCACGTGGCCTCCAAACAGCTGCGGAACTTCTTGAATGGAATCACCCATGGATAGCTACCTGGAGACCAGTACTCTTGATCTGCAAGACCTCCCACATCGAGCAGCTACGGCAACGTCGCTACGGTCTAGGACATCATCTTCACCGTATTCGCCGAGGCGCGAGTTGATGGTATGGACCGGGGTACCTGGAAAGGATAAGAACCGATATTCCGATCTCCCCGACTGAAGGTGAGCGCTGGCGGTTACATCAAGTAACTCGAGAAGAATATCCTCCCTACATGTGGTCGCCCGTACCTTCTTGGAGACCTTGTGCTGCTACAGGTTTGGGTGCCACCACATGGAATCGAAGGGTTTTGGAAAAACTCCCGCCTACTTCGAATGGAAGGGCGTTTCGTACCTGAAGAAGATGTAATATTGAAGTATGTCCCCTGACCTGAACCCACTCAATTACCTAGTCGGGCGGAGTTCAAGAGGGTGGTCTACGGTGGCGGAGAAATCAACGATCTCGCTCAACTCCGGTACCCACTCACTTTCGCGCGGCCGAATCTCTCGATGGCGCTCCTCCAGAAGGCTGTGGCGGAGTATCATTATAGTATTTAATGTGCTCTTTAATATGGTAGTAAAAATGTCCGATAAAAATTTAATAAAGTGTAACTTATAGCGCCTTGAAAGTCATGGAGGCAAAATGACTTTTTTTTGGCCCCCCCCTGTATATTGGCGACTGGATGGAGTCAAAGTGCGCTGAATTACAGAAAAATGATTTGTTCTTGAGCTGGTTCCTTCTTTCACGTTCTCTTTGCTTCCGCCAATTCTGGAACTTCAAACAATCAAGAATCACCTTCTCTACCCATGTCCTCGCCTCTACTTGGTCGGGCAAAATATCGAATGAAGTAATAAGAACAGGAATGGCAAAGGACGGGAATAGTATAGCATTCTTGTAGACGTGACCTGAAAAAAACGACATAGGAAGTTTCAAATTATTAATTTACTATCTGCTAGAAGTTATCTATCTATCCCGAAGCTATTTCACCAATATCGAAGCAGAAGTCGCAGAAACGCTGAGGCGCTGGTTTAAGCAAGTGGTATAAGAGGTGCGACATCTACATCCACTACGAATACAGGGGGGGGGCAAAAAAAGTCATTTCGGCCGAGCCACATATCAACGAAGTTTTCGCAGCCCAGACAGGGGAAGTGGATATGAGTACCAGGGTGGAAGATACCCAAGATCTTCCTCTATAAGCTGGAGCAGGCTGCCGCCAATCGCCTTCATGTACACCAAAATATGAAGTCATCTCCAGTCGCGGCCTGACTGGAGAACACCTTTGGAATTCCAAACAGCTGCGAAACTTCTTGAATGGAATCATCCACAGATAGCTACCTGGAGGTCAGTACTCTTGATCTG